TCAGTAACAATCAAACTGAGAACCAAAGTAAGAAAACAATCTCATTTACAATAGCTACTAAAAAAAAAAAAAAATACCTAGGCATATATTTAACCAAGGAGGTAAAAGATCTCTGTAAGGAAAACTACAAGACACTCCTGAAAGAAATCAGAGATGACACAAACAAATGAACAAATATCCCATGCTAATGGATCAGAAGAATTAATATGGTTAAAATCATGATTCTGCCCAAAGCAATCTACAATCTACCGATTCAATGTAATTCAAAACGCCAATGTCATTTTCACAGAATTTAAAAAAAAACCCTAATATTCATATGAAACCACCAAATAGCCAAAGCAATCCTAAGGAAAAAGAACAAAGCTGAAGGCATCACATTACCTGACCCTAAATAATATTACAAGGCTGTAGTAAACAAAACAGCATGGTACTGGTATAAAAACAATTGCATAGATTAATGGAGCCCAGAATAGAGAACCCAGAAATAAAGCTATACATCTATAGCCAACTGATCTTAGACAAAATCGACAAAACATTAAAAAAAGAAAACATATAACATATAACAAAAACATTTAAAAAAAGTGGAGAAATAGGAACACTTTTACACTGTTGGTGGGACTGTAAACTAGTTCAACCATTGTGGAAGACAGTGTGGTGATTCCTCCAGAATCTAGAACCAAAAATACCATTTGACCCAGCCATCCCATTACTGGGTATATACTCAAATGTTTATAAATCATGCTGCTATAAAGACACATGCACACGTATGTTTATTGCGGCACTATTCACAATAGCAAAGACTTGGAACCAACCCAAATGTCCATCAATGATAGACTGGATTAAGAAAATGTGGCACATATACACCATGGAATACTATGAAGGCATGAAAAGGATGAGTTCATGTCCTTTGCAGGGACATGGATGAAGCTGGAAACCATCATTCTCAGCAAACTATCACAAGGACAAAAAACCAAACACCACGTGTTCTCACTCATAGGTGGGAACGAACAATGAGAACACTTGGACACAGGAAGGGGAACATCACACACCGGGGCCTGTTGTGGGATGGGGAGAGGGGGGAGGGATAGCATTAGGAGATATACCTAATGTAAATGACGAGTTAATGGGTGCAGCACACCAACATGGCACATGTATACGTATGCACCAAACCTGCACGTTGTGCACATGTACCCTAGAATTTAAAGTATAATAAAAATAAAAAACAACAAAAACAAAAAAAAAGCTTGGTAAATGACTACTTTGCATTTCTCCTCTCTCTGGCCCAAAGCAAACTTTTTTTTTTTTTTTTTGAGACGGAGTTTTGCTCTTGTTGCCCAGGCTTCAGTGACTACAGCGGCGCAATCTCGGCTCACTGCAACCTCCACCTCCCAGGTTCAAGCGATTCTCATGCCTCAGCCTCCCAAGTAGCTGGGATTACAAGCACGCACCACCATGCCTGGCTAATTTTTTGTATTTTTAGTAGAGACAGGTTTCACCATGTTGGCCAGGCTGGTCTTGAACCCCTGACCTCAGGTGATTCGCCTGCCTTGGCCTCCCAAACTGCTGGGATTACAGGTGTGAGCCACTGCGCCCGGCCCAAAGCAAGCTTTTGAAACCTGATACTGATGCCTAAACCATGTTCTTTCAGTCATCATCTTCTTATGCATTGGCGATTCAATGGACATTTAGAAAGCTAGCTCACAGGCAAAAGGTAAAATTTCAAGTAAATACTTGATGAAAAAAGCCTTTTTGGAGGCAGATGGGGATATACATTAAATCAAAGAACCTCCTAACAATTCCAAAATGGAACGTGCTTCCTTTCAGCAGAGAGTGGATAAGTTAGAGGGGCTAGAATCTTCTCTCACTTGTGTCCCCTTCAGGGCCCAGCACAGTTCCTTGCCCAGAGTTGGTCCTCATGAGACTTCAACTCTCCATTACTAGGCCTGCTCTCCTGCTGGGCACATTCCCTCCTGGGTGCCCATGGGGCATGGCATCAAGCAATCTTTACGCCTAGTCACGTTACAGGCCTATGAAAAATACCCCCCAGGCCCTCCAGAAAACACTGACTTTCATAACTTGCTGTCAATAAAAGACCAAATTGCTTGTGTCTGCCAAACAGGGAGCATGGGTCAGCAAGGAACCCAGGGGACTGACAGAATCCCCTCCAGGTCCCACCGTGGTGCTCAGTGACATGGCAGTCATCGGTAGAAATTTAGCACCGCGGACACTGGCTGATCCCCAGATGAGAAGCATCTCTCCAAGGCTAGGCAAATCCCCATCAGGTCCAGTAAATTCCTGGTACAGTCTCCATCACCTGCTTCTGAATATTTTACAGACCTCAAGGAAGATACAAAGGGGGCGGTGACAATCAGAAGATAAGACACTAGCACTGGTTGTGTGACCTCTAGCAAGCATGTAATCCCAGCACTTTGGGAGGCCAAGGTGGGCAGATCATTTGAGGTCAGGAGTTCCAGACCAGCCTGGCCAACATGGCAAAACCCCATCTCTACTAAAAATACAAAAATTAGTTGAGCATGATGGTGCACGCCTGCAATCCCAGCTACTGGGATTATCAAGGCTGAGGCAGGAGAATTGCTTGAACCCGGGAGATGGAGGTTGCAGTGAGCCAAGATTGTGCCACTGCACTCTAGCCTGGGCAACAGAGTAAGACTCCATCTCAAAAATAAATAAATAAATAAATAAAATAAAATAAAAAGGGGAGGGGTGTGGGATGAAAAACTACATATTGAGTGTAACATACACTACTCAGGTGATGGGTCCATTAAAGTCTTATAATTCACCACTATGTAATTCATTCATGTAACCAAAAACCACTTATACTCCAAAAGTCATTGAAATAGAAAATACGTTTAAAAAAATTAGGTGCAGGACTATGGAGGCGCCCATGCAAGTGAGGAGCCCTGAGGCTGAAGCTTCAATAGCTTCATGGTCGATCTGCCTCTGCCCTTACCAGAGGGGCAGAAAAGGAAATTGTTTCCTCTGCAGTGTTGATCTCTCACAAGCAGCAACGTACGAGGGAGAACATGTGTATTGGAGTCAGAAAGGCCTGGGTTCAAATACCAGCTGTTTCTTCACTTGCTTTGTGGTCTTGAGGAATGTTACTTACCCTCGCTATGCCTCAATTTCCTTCTCTGAGAAAAAAGAGGTAGCAATGCATATGTCATGTGTATTTACATGGATTACAAGGGATAGCATGTTTTACATAACACATGTAAAAGTGTTTAATACTATTAGCCATGTAGATGATAGACTTCCATTCAACAGCTTTCACTAGATTTGATCTATGTGAGTTAAAGTCACCTTCTACAATGGCTAGTTATTAGCTTGCCACGTAACAATGGACAAAGAGTATGCAAGCGTGTATTCAAGGATAGTATAAATGTATAAAAATAGGGTGCAAAATAGAACCACATAACCCTAAACCAGTGGCTCACAATTATTATTTTATTTTGCAGGGGGACAAGGCCTCCCTCTGTTATCCAGATTGGAGTGCAGTGGCATGATCTTGGCTCACTGCAACCTTCACCTTCCAGGCTTCAGTGATCCTCCCACTTCAGCCTCCTGAGTAGCTGGGACTACAGGCGTGCACCATCACACCTGGCAAATTTTTGTATTTTTTGTAGACACAGGATTTCACCATGTTGGCCAGGCTGGTCTCGGACTCCTGGGCTCAAGCAGATTTCCCACTTCAACCTTCCAAAGTGTTGGGATTACAGGCACAACCACAGTTACTTTTTCTACCTCAGTGTACCAGGGGGATGCAAACCATTCCAATTGACAATAGCTTCATACAAGAGCAATAGAAAAGGAGTGTGTTAATACAATTTGCAAAGCTCCTGGTATTTTTTGCCTTCTTATGATGCACATTTCCTTCCAGTCTATATCTCAACTCCTATAGCCCATCCTCAGTCCCAGTTGAGAATCACAGGCTTCACGACAACTAAGGCAAAATACTGAATTTATTCAGTTGATCTGACCAGTCACATTGGACAAAAGTGTTGGGTTTTATTTGCATAATGTAAAACACACTTTACTTAAGACTACTCACATACTTTACAATGTTACAAATACATATATACACACACATATATGAAAGATTTATGAAGGCATTTGATATAATACATACACAGTATGCTATTTTAATATACAAATGCTTAAAAGAAAATTGAGTCATAAGAATTACAAAAGGAGCATCATCAATAATTTACAAAAGTGTTCATTTTTCTTCTCATTCTCATCCTTTGGGATGTACAAAAATTATGTGGTTTACACAGTTGTATCCACATTCAAAACATCATGTTTTGAATGTCTTAAGCATAGCATGTACAGTACAAAATGTTTCCATAGGAACACAAAAGAAACCGTCACTAGTGGCCTGCTGTCAGATGGCTTCTAATTCATCAGTTAGCCATTTTTAAGACACTAGTCCAGCTTATTGCTACGATATTCAAGTTGTTCTATTCACCTAAATTATAATGAATTCAATGTATACCAGAATTTACCAATAAAGGCTCAAAGAGTTATATAATATACACCAATATACACAAAACAACTATTCTGAGTAAAATGAAGATTCCATAATTAAATAAGAACCAAGAATAGTAATTTTAGGCTATTCTGTTATCCTTGTAATGGGTATTTTTAAAATTTTGAGCAAAGTGCACAGTGAATGGAACAGTCAGCAGACACGATCCTTCTGTGAACTCTCAAATTCCTTCCTTAGAATCACATCACCTGAGAAATGAGAACCTTGAGACCTGGTGCGTATCAGATAGCTTCACAAGTCAAACACACAGGAGCCACTTGGAGGCACATTCATGGGTCACGGGAGGTCACACTGCTCCTTCAAAACTGGCACCATTCACTGTACAGGGCCCCTGTGTCAAGGCAGCAGAACCAGCCCCCAAGGAGATCAGCGCTATCTTAATGTAGAGCAAACATGACATGTTTTTTGAAGTGGCATGCCAAAACATGCCACTTCAGCCATATTCAAGTGTTGGTGGTCCCCGAACAAGATTGAAGTAGCCAGCCAGAGCGCCGAGGTCTATGTAGAGAGAGCGTTGTCTCTTGAGCATCTCAGATTCCTCAGTGCTTCCTGTGCATGAAGAATCTGAAAAGGAAAACATTAAAAAGTAAGTTACAAGAAAACCTGTCAAGTAATAAATACCTGTTCCTTCTGCAGTGAAATAAATCCTTTGGGGCCTAATAAAACAGTGTCTTAAGTGTGAAAGATGGGTCTTGGAACATTATGGATAAGTTCACATAATAGGACATAGAACAAAAAGTTCAAACAGGAGTCAACGGAGACAAGAAATTAGTTAGAAATCCTGGCATATTTTTCCAACAGCCAGATCGTTCTCTTTAAATACACAAAATTCAGACAAGCAGCAAAGAAATATAAACGAGTGCGCCAGGCTTGACATCTGGGTTTGGACCTAAATGGATTAAGAATGCCACAGATTTTTAATAAAAATGGAAACCCTTGTCTGTGCATATTCAATGCTCCTGGAATGCATACAGACTTTCTTAAGTGGGAAAAATTTACAACTGGCAAGATTTTAAGCCAAGGAAGATGGAAACGCAAGTTGACTTCAAACACAGTATTTTATCTGTGCAGGGCAGTGCCATGATGTTCCCCCACCAAGGACTGGGGTGGCTTAATATAAATGAGTTAGGCTGGGCACGGTGGCTCACGCCTGTAATCCCAGCTCTTTGGGAGGCTGAGGCAGGTGGATTGCCTGAGGTCAGGAGTTAAGAGACCAGCCTGGGTTAAGAGACCAGCCTGGCCAACATGGTAAAACCCTGTCTCCACTAAAAATACAAAAATTAGCCAGACATGGTGGTGGGCACGTGCAATCCCAGCTACTCAGGAGGCTGAGGCATGAGAATCACTTGAACCCAGGAGGCAGAGGTTGCAGTGACCTGAGATCATGCCACTGCACTCCAGTCTGGGCAACTGAGCAAGACTCCATCTCAAACAACAACAACAACAACAACAACAACAAAAAGGTGAGTTAAGACAAACGTTGCAAAAAAGCAAGTTGTAGAAAAGCAAGTCAGAAGCATTTTCCAGTGACTGTGCTACCTACACTTGCACTGAAAATCTATTATAATTTGGTGCTAAATTAGCCAATTTAAAAAAAAAAAAAAAAACCTGCTTCTGTTAATCTTGCTGAAATTTCTCAAGCAAGGTATGGTACTCAAGAAGTTATTTCCTTTTTTTCCAAGTGCTTTCGTGAACTACATTAGAGGTTGGATGTGGACAGAAACAGAAGGGAAGCAAGGGTACGGCACACAGCAGGGTGTCCTTACCAGCAATGTTCTCAGGAAGTTCCAGCTCCTTCCTACTCAGCAGCCTCTTGCGCTCAAAGAGGGCAGAGTCCAGACTCTGACAGCGCGGCTGATCCTCTCTGGGCGGGTTCAGGGCCTCATGTTTTAGTAGGTCTGCGGCTCTTGGGCGGTGATTGGGGTTTCTCTCCAGCGCAGCTTCTATCAGCTCTCTCATCCCTGGACTGCAGTCATCTGCAATGTCTTCCAGTGGAGGCGCTTGCTTGTGGATCTATGAACAAACCAGCTCTCTTAGCATCAAAGGTATGGAGATACACCCTCAACAGCAAACGCACGCTAGTAACAGGACCTAGAAAGTAATCCGTTTCCCACCACATGCCCTGCAACAAATGCAGTTCGTGCCCTTAAGCAAGCAAGCTTCCCTTTAATTTATTTTTTCTTTTCCCTTTGACACAGGGTCTCTGCTCTGTTGTCCAGACTGGAGAGCAGTGGCATGAACACAACTCACTGTAGCCTCGAACTCCTGGGCTCAAGTGATCCTCTCACCTCAGCCTCCCATGCAGCTGGGACCACAGGCCATACACTACCACATCTAGCTAATTTTTTTTATTATTTTTTGTAGAGATGGGGTCTTGCTTTGCTGCCCAGGCTGGTCTTGAACTTCTGGGCTCAAGAGATCCTTTTGCCTTGGCTTTCTAAGGTGCTGAGATTACAGGCGTGAGCCACTGTTTAATTTCTAAAGGATACCAGGTTAAACCCATCTTCTGGTTTAATGTTACAAAAGATAAGTGCTAGGTTTGAATGTCAGTGACAGCTTCAAATCAGTGGCCCAAAAGTCACTATGTAGTAACAGGGAAATGTCTGCTCCTGAATTTATCAATAGTAAAATGGGAATTGCATGTTCCACTACAAGCCACGCTGGTGTGAACATTAATAATAAAAAATGTTTTAAGTGTTCAAAGAACATATACAACTTCGGTGGCTGATACATTTACGCCACTCTGATGCTAGTAGTATTGTATTATTACACATAAAATGGAATAGCATAATTATGCCCAATGCACATTTTAGTAAGCTCCCACTAAAACAGCTATGTTTTCTTTGCAAGAATGGAGCTTGCTTCTACATGGGAAGAACTTGTAGCTACCTGTCATTTCACCATTCCCTCATTCAGATGGGGGTGGTATAGAAGGCACAGCAGTCCCTCCCAGCCTGCGGGATGCATAACTCAGCCCCCACCCCGCCCCAGGCCTGGTTGAACCCCACTTACTATGTACAGGTAGGAGGGATAGGCTGAGCGAGGGTAGCGCTTCACCCAGGGCGGGGTGCCCGTCTGCATGTGGATGAGCGTGGCCCCCAGGCTGTAGATGTCTGCTTTGGTTGAATGGCCCCTGCATAGGATGACCTCTGGGCTCATGTAAATCTGAAAAAGAAGCGGGAAACATTCAGCTTCATTCCCCTCCTTTGTGTGGGGTTCCATTTCCCTACTCCAGTTTTGGAAATTGACTCATTCGCCTTAAACTAGGAGAATAATGCAGGCATTCCCCAGGAACCATGCAGCTCTTGCTGGAGGTGTCCCTGCAGTCTGATAAAGAACACCTGGCTGGGCGCAGTGGCTCACACCTGTAATCCCAGCCGAGGTGGGCAGATCAGTTGAGGTCAGGAGTTCAAAGCCAGCCTGGTCTCTACTAAAAATACAAAAATTAGCTAGGCACGGTGGTGGGCACCTGTAATCCCATCTACTTGGGAGGCTGAGGGAAGGAGATTTGCTTGAGCTTGGGAGGTGGAGGCTGCTGTGAGCCAAGATCGCACCACTGCACTCCAGCCTGGGAGACAGAGTGAGACTCCGTCTCAAAACAAAACAAAACAAAAAAACACCCTTTTCTGGTTGATCTGGCGGCAAAGAGACTAGTACTAGGAATCTATCCGGGACTGCCACTCATCAAAGTTCTGCAGTACACTGATCAGGTGCAGCTAAGTTTTCTACAAGAGCCAATTCCTTTTATATTTAAATGAACTACAAACAGACTTCTTCATCTGTTTGTTGTTACATTGCTAACCCTCTAAATATCTGCAATGGTAAAAGGCGATATAAGTCCATAGGGTATTAACACAAATGTCTTGAAAGGGGAAAACTTAAAAAATAAAGCGTAATGTTGTAAAAGTGATTCTAAAGAGCTATTTTTACAAACTATCTGCTACTTTTACCTACCATGTAGCCCAGTGACTAAATATTAAATGCACCCATATTAACATTGTATAAGTTATTTTTGGTTTCATGAGTCCATGCTGAATAAACGGGGTTGGTTTTATAAATAGTTTCTCTAAGAAGCATTTATTTCTAAACTTAAGAAAGAAACAAAGAGAGGTGGGGCATGGTGGCTCATGTCTATAATCTCAGGACTTTGGGTTTTTTTGTTTATTTTTGTTTTTTTTTAGACGGGGTCTCCGTCTGTCACCCAGGCTGGAGCGATCTTGGCTCACTGCAACCTCTGCCTCCCAGGTTCAAACTGTTCTCCTGCCTCGGCCTCCCAACTAGCTGGGATTACAGGCATGTGTCACCACGCCTGGCTAATTTTGTATTTTTAGTAGAGATGGGGTTTCACCATGTTGGCCAGGCTGGTCTCAAACTCCTGACCTTGTGATCCACCTGCCTCGGCCTCCCAAAGTGCAGGGATTACAGGCATGAGCCACCGAATCTCAGCACTTTGGAAGGCCGAGGCAGGAAGATTCCTTGAGCCTAGGAGTTTGAGACCAGTCTGGACAAGATGGAGACCCCCCATCTTTACAAATTAGTTAGTTACCTAATTTAATTAAACATTTTTTTAAAAAGGAATACAGCAAACACTGGTGACCAGTTATTTGTATTCATGGCTGGTGCAGACATATAGTAGTTAATATCCTAATTATCATATTTCGCTTGAAACAGCTTGTACACTGTCTGCCACGTGAATAAGAGAATGGAGGTCAGTGTTCCCGGAATACATTTCAGGGTAAGTAAGTAGAGAACTAGCTTACAAAAACCGAAGAAACTGCCCAGTCTCCCCACCCTAACCCTGCTCAACTCCTTCCTACAAGCCACTTCCGGGCCAGCTTCCTTTTGCTCTCAGCAAACAGGTCAAACTGAGCTCCTGTTCTCAAGCTTTCCCTGCAGCAAAGCCAAAGGATTTTCCAGACGGACTTTGCTACTAAATAGATCACGAAGTTAAAAAATTAATGCACAACATTGTACCTATAGTCAACAATAGCGTATTGTATACTTAAAAATTTATTGAGAGGGTTAGAGTTCATGCTAAGTGTTCTTAACACAATCAAATAAAAAAAGAAAAAGAAATGCAATGGGTATTATTAACTGTCCATAGAGGATGCCTACCTTCTATCCTGTACCCCCTCCTCCCCGCCAATACAGCAAGGATTGGGCCGAGTGCTCACTGCTGGTGTAGGCAACAGGGGTTGTGCAGAGGTGGCTCTGCAGGTTCTACGTGACTGCACGCCTAGGCAGCCTGGGGAGATGGAGCATCTGTAAGCCTGGTGGCCTGGGTGCTGCCCCTCAGGCAGAAACCCTGGCTCAGGGCTCTTGTTCTTCAAGCTCTACCAACTACCAGATAGATCACGGAGCAGCAGAGCATGATATTCAAGCACTCTGGCTGATTAGAAGGCATGAAACAGCCCTGGTGGGGCCAAGACAGGGCTCTCTGAGAGTTCTGCACCCTTGGGGCTGGGCACCGGAGCAAGAGAAAACCTTGATGTCAGTGATCGAACCCTTCACCTCTCAACATGTTTATTAGAAAGGGAAAGAGACCGTATGTGTGCGTATATGTGCGTGTGATGATTATATAGTTAACTTACAAAAGTAAAACCAAGCAGACTTAGAAGGACTTTTCAAAAAGGACCAAGTTCTAAAAGTAATTCTGATTTGTTATTCACATTCACAATGTATTCTTTCTCTGTACCATGTAACTCAAAAACAGTTGGTTCTGTACACACCAGATTAACCCTGTATGTGTATTACATGGTTACAGTAGAATGCTCTGAATACCGATGCTTAGAGAGAGAAATCAAACAGGGGTAAGCAGGATTTGCATTTGGGAGCTATACTGCAGAAATCAGAAATTGTCTATGACTGTGCAGCAGCCACATGATCAAATTCTAACATCAGCCAATCTGCACAGTTGACTGACTAATTTCATCTCCTAGCTCTTTAAGTAGGAAGAGCAAAAGCAAGCTTGTTGAAAGGTTTCATTGGTGACTTCACAACTTTGTTCATTACCAAACTTCAACTCGTGTGTATTAGGCAGATAGTAAATGCAGGCTGATTAGAAGAGGGTTTATATTTATAAACACTGAGGCTCAGTTTTGCACCTCACAAAAAGCAATTTGCATTTGCCAAAAATAACCTGATCCAAATACTACTCAGGAGTAAAATATGTTATTATCTCACATCCATGCATTCTGCTAGACAGCCCCAGAAAGAACACTTCTTTCTCCAATGTTGCAAAATGTTCGACTTCACCACACTGCCAGGAAGAGAAAAGTATTTTCCATCTTTCATACCATAAATAGTTTGTTTCTTAAACTGGTTCCAGGAAAAAGGGTGGTGGAATATTACATATCTGAACTCCTGACTAACGCCAAATATGCTGAAACATTTTCCAAAGAAAACATGTCGTAAGCATTAAGTCTTATGAGATCTCACATTTTGGTAAAGTATTCTTAAGATCTAGGGACTAAGCACTCTTAAAAACAAACAAACAAACTACAGTTTCCCTTCTGAATATTGTTCTGCTCAAAGACAAACTATCAAGAATCCCCACTTGAGTATTTTCAATAATAACTTCGGTAATATTTGCAAAAGAAGGATTTCTTCTGTTGCCCCGGAGAGTCTTGGCTTTGAGAGAGTTGAGAAAGCACTTACATACAGAATCTTGTTGTTGTTTTTTTTTTTTTTTTTTTTTTAGGACAAGGTCTTGTTCTACTGTCCAGGCTATGGGTGCAGTGGCATAATCACAGCTCACTGCAGCCTCATCCTGGGCTCAAGCAATCCTCCCACCTCAGTCTCTTGAGTAGCTGGGACTACAGACATGCACTACCATGCCATTTTTACAAAAAGTAAAGTTTCTGTTTGTTTGTTTACTTTTTGTAGTGATGGGGTCTCATAATGTTGCCCAGGCTGGAAGAATCTTGGTTTGAAAGGAAGATAATTTTTTTGTTGCTGCAATCCAGTTCAGTGCAACACGTATACTAGCTAAACTAGACTAAGGGCTGTCATCTGATTGAACACCAAGACTGACCTGGTAACCTTGACATAGAGGTGCAGTCAAAGACCCTCTCTCTATTTCCTATGGGCACTTCCAGCAAAGAGAAGGGCATGGGGCTGAGTGGCTCAGGCAGTGAAGCTTCCCCCAGTAGTGGTGAGGGGCCAAGGAGGCAATTTTACACCCATTTACCTTCCTGCTTGCACCCAACCTTGTGCCCATTACAATCAACTGTGAACTAAACTGTTGTGCTCTTTCTTTTCTCTCTTTCTTTTATTCTTTTTCTTTCTTTCTTCCTTTCTCTTTCTTTCTTTTCTCTCTCTCTCTCCTTCCTTCCTTCCTTCTTTCCTTCCTTTCTTCCTTCCTTCCTTCCCACTCTCTCTCTCTCCCTCCCTCCCTCCTCCATCTTCCTTCCTTCCTTCTTTTTTTTTCAAAAGAGATGAGGTCTCACTATATTGCCCAGGCTGGTCTCGAACCCCCAGGCTCAAGCAAACCACCCCCACCTCCTTGGCCTTTCAAAGGGTTGGGATTACAGGTGTGGGAACACCACACCTATCCCTAAATGGTTGCTCTTTTAATAATTCAGGTAATTTAAAGTAAGTCCCCCTACCAAAGAGTGAGGATTGCTGGAGTACCACTAAGGCTTGCTCCTCATTGCCTTGTCTCATGCTTCCTTGTTGGTGCCCACAAGAACCTGCCACATAGCAGATGCTCAGCGGACACTTGCTAATTGAATCAACCAGCCAGCATAATGATGTGAATGTTAAATATATTATTTGGAAGCCCTCGAATGAATTTTTCAGAATCTCATTTAGAGTCAGGAAAGAAAGGCTTTTCTGGGTCATTTTTTGCTTCACAGATGAGTTAAACATGAGTGCTATTTTACATCTTTAAATAAGATACATTTATGCTCACTACTTGAGGTTTATTATAGGATTCCTAGGCTCAAAGAGAGGCCTTTAGAGTCCTCATAAATATTAATGACCATGATAATTAAGACTGTCATTGAGCCAAAACTCAGTGATATTAGTTATATCAGTAATATATTTTAATAATGTATGTAGTAGTATATTTTTTTAAAGTTACGTAGCAGTTAGACCTTAGGGTTAGACTTAGAAAGAACTGGGTTCAAGTCCAGAGTCTGTCACTGAGTGACTCTGGACACTTTATTTTAATCTCTGCAAACTTATTTCCTTTATTGTGAAACGAGAATAACAATAGAATCTGCTTACAATAATAGTATTTACAACAACAGGGTTGTTGTAAGGATTAAATAACATACTGCTTTTTAAGGGCTAAACTTATTATAAAGTTAACTATAATTCTACAATTATTATGAAAGCTGAACTGTGGGCCAGACACGGGGGCTCACACCTATAGTCCCAGCACTTTGGGAGGCGGGAGGATCACTTGAGGCCAACAGTTCAAGACCAGCCTGGCCAACATAGTGAAATCCCCATCTCTACTGAAAAAGCAAAATAAACAAAAAATTAGCTGGATGTGGTGGCACACACCTGTAATCTCAACTGCTCAGGAGGCTAAGAAGCGTGTGAACCCAGGAGGTGGAGATTGCAGTGAGCTGAGATCATGCCACAGAGTAAGACTCTGTCTCAAAACAAAACAAACCAAAACCAAAACCAAAACCACACAACATAAAGCTGAACTGTGGATATGATCTATTTGTGGGGGAGGGGAGGGTTTGAAACAAGGTCTTGTTCTGTCTTCCAGGCTGGAGTGCCCATGGCTCACTGCAGCCTTGAACTCCTAGGCTCAAGCAATCCTCCCACCTCAGCCTCCCAACTAGCTGGGACTACAGGGGTGTACCACCACACTGAACTAATTTTTTTTTTTTTGAGATGGAGTTTCACTCTTGTTGCCCAGGCTGGAGTGCAATGGCGCGATCTCGGCTCACCTCAACCTCTGCCTCCCGAGTTCAAATGATTCTCCTTCCTCAGCCTCCCGAGTAGCTGGGATTACAGGTGCCCACCACCATGCCCAGCAAATTTTGTATTTTTAGTAGAGATGGGGTTTCGCCATGTTGGTCAGGCTTGTCTCAAACTCCCGACCTCAGGTGATCAGCCCACCTCAGCCTCCCAAAGTGCTGGGATTATAGGTGTGAGCCACCGTGCCCAGCCTGAACGAATTTTTTTTATAGAGATGGGGTCTTGCTATGATGCCTAAGCTTGTCTCAAAGTCCTGGGCTCAATTAATCCTCCCACCTCAGCCTCCCAAAGCACTGGGATTATAGGCATGAGCCACCACACCGGGCAAATATGATCTATTTTGTCATTACATTGTTTATAAATGTTCTATATATGTTCTATATATAGAAATGTTCTATATATCAACATGTATATTATATTACAAATACTATTATGTATTATAAATAACATAGCAAAAAATAAAAAATCAAGTGCTAAACTTAGTACTTGACACAGAGCAAGTGCTCATTAAACGTGTTCCAAGGATAATAATGATTTAATGCAATGGATTTCTTTCCCTTCTTTGTCCTTCATTCCCACGATAATTATAGAACAATTTTTCCTTTTTTATTCTTAATAAAATACTAACCCTTTTCATGTGAATATAATTACCTCTGTTCCCCGGAGGTCCTTAGGAAAATAGACATCTTCGGTCATTTGAACACTTAGGCCAAAATCCACCAAAACAGCTTTTGTGGACATGAAAACAATGTTGCTAGCTAAAATGAGAGGAAATTTTTTAAGATAAATTTTTTTATATATTCATAAGTCAAATGAAAACATTATCTGAAACAATAATGAATCTCAAATCAGAAAAGACTGAAATGCTTCCTCTAGTGAGATGGGTGTATTGTATTCAAAAGGGGAGAACGCATCTCAGATTTTAGGTGAAAATCACTTCGGATCCATCAGGAATTCAGCCAATGTGGGTATGAATGATTGTAGCCATTAATAATGGTCAAGAACTTGAGTTTCAAACTCTAAGACATAAGCATATTGTTGTCAAGCCACTTTTCTAAAGCAGAAAAGTAAAATACCCATTTTTTCCCCCCAGTAAAAGTTATGCCACTCCAATTTAGTACTGGCTATTAAAGGTTTACCTATTTCTTCATCATATCAGACTCCTAGAAAACAGTTATCAAAGTTGTGTTTAATGGATTATTATTACATTGGTATACAAAATGAAAGAGGTATTTGTTTCTCAAAAATATTTGTCTCTGTGTTTGTATGTTTTTAAGTAAATCGCATTTTTTTTGGTGGGGAGGGGACGGAGTTTTGCTGTTGTCACCCAGGCTGGAGTGCAATGGTGCCATGTCAGCTCACTGCAACCTCTGCCTCCCAGATTCAAATGATTCTCCTGCCTCAGCCTCCCAAGTAGCTGGGATTACCAGCACCCAACACCACGCCCAGCTAATTTTTTTTTTTTTTTTGTATTTTTAGTAGAGACAGGGTTTCACCACATTGGCCAGGCTGGTCTCCAGTTTCTGACCTCAGGTGATCCACGTGCCACAGCATCCCAAAGTGCTGAGATTACAGGTGTGAGCCATCACGCCCAGCCTAAACTGCAATTTTAAAAGCCTTTTTAACAGAGCAGTACCTAATAGGTATGTAGCTATAACTTTTCAACAACTGTTCAAAGTAATCTTTCCGTATGACTTGGAAAGCTCTAGTAACCCCGCATGATTCTAAGACATGTCTCTGGAGAAGGAAGATGGACGGTGCTCTGAGGGAGCTTTCCACCCTTCATGGAGGGTCTTCAGATTACAGGAAGGAGCTTGTTTGTCTCCTGAATAACTAGTCTCTTTGAGCCAAAAAGGTATATGTCCAAAGATACTTACGTTTAATATCATGATGGATTACTTTCTTTGAGTGTAGAAAATCAAGTCCCTTGAGAACATGCTTTGTCACCCAAATAATTTCAAATTCTCTCATTGGTCCACAGCTCTCCAGTTTCTCCAGAACAGACCCTCCCTCGCCTGCTTCCATAAAGAGATGGACAGTTTCACCCCACAGGACTGCGCCATACAGCTCTGCGATGTTCTCGTGCCGGAAGCAAGCCTGGATCTCCACATCAGATGGCTTAAATTGATCTACTGGGATCTAGAACACAAAAATACGAGCGAGATTCTAAACAACCCCAAAGTCATCTTAAAAATATATAATATAGGTCAATGCAAAAACCAAAAGGCAAACAAATGCCCTCAAGAATACTCTGCCCTGTGTGAAAATGGACTGCCCGGTTACAATACTGTTCGCCTCAGATCTGCCTTTAACTATGCTAGTCCGCTTTCAGTATAAAATTCAGAACAAGAAAATAAAAAACAAAATAATGAGTTATTATTTTCACTTAGAAGTCAGAAATCCATCCAATGTTTTCAAATTATCAATGAATCAAAAAAGAGATAATTTCCCACCTATTAGACAACAGTATCTATGGTACCTAGATTTTAGGTTGTATTTTCAATATTTCAGTTTGTTGTGAGATAGTATGAAGTGTTTGTTGCCACAGTTCATACTCTATTATAGCAACGTATTTAAAATAAGCACTAGAGCTGGGCACGGTGGCTCATGCCTGTAATCCCAACACTTTGGGAGGCCAACGTGGGCAGATCACTTGAGGCCAGGAGTGCAAGACCAGCCTGGCCAACATGTTGAAACCCCGTTTCTACAAAAAATACAAAAATTAGCCAGGCATTGGTTGTGTACGCCTGTAATCCCAGCTACTCTCTTATTACAATAAGAGAGACCAAGACATAATATGTGGCAATTATTTATTTTATTTTTTGTTAAATCAAAAGTGAGTGTATTTTTTGTTGTACTTTTTGAAAAATTAGTTAAAGCAAAACAGACACACAAAAAAGTGTAAAAATGATGGGTCCAACTTAATGAATTATCAACTGAATGTACAAATGTAACCCCCATCTAAATCAAAACGAAAAATCACATCAGGCCAGGTGCGGCAGCTCACGCCTGTAATTCCAGCGCTGTGGGAGGCCAAGGCAGGTGGATGGCTTGAGGTCAGGAGTTCGAGACAAGCCTGGCCAATATGGCAAAACCCCGTCTCTACTAAAATACGAAAATTAGGTGGGCATGGTGGTGGGTGCCTGTAATCCCAGTTACTTGGGAGGCTGATGCAGGAGAATCGTTTGAACCCAGGAGGTGGAGTTTGCAGTGAGCCAAGACCCCGACACTGCACTCCAGCCTGGACAACAGAGCAAGACTCTGTCTCAAAAAGGAAAAAAAAAAAGAAGGGATAGGGTCTTTTCAATCACTGATGTATTTAAATTCAGCCTTTTAAATCTGCCTTCCTGAGAAGGCTACCTCCTTCCCAGTTTCTGCCTCTGCCTGGCCCCCTCCGCAGTTGAATGAAAGGAGAACCACACAGAATTGCCCCTACTTCGCAGGATGGCTCTTCTCTACCTCTCTCCAAGAGTGATGATGTTATTTATCCAAATCAGTGCTTTAAAAACCAGCACTTTCCTTGTAATCATCTAGATTAAAATCAACTATGCTCCTAAACAGAGATTTTGGGGCTGAATGGCCCCAGGTAGCCAACGAATTCAGAAAAACAAATGCTTTGAGGCAGTGCACCCTTAGATAAGATCCAATCAAAGGATAAAAATCTTTGGTTAATGCAAATGGACAAACAAACAAAAGCCAGAATGCCAAACACACAGTGTGGGTTATCTAGTTACATAACACATACCAGTTTACACGCCATTCTTTTCTTCGTCTTTATATCTTGTGCCAAGTATACCTTTCCAAAGGCTCCCCGAGGAATAAAATCAGAACCAATATTTCTGTAAGTCAGCTTCCAAGGGATCAGGAGAACATCAGAGTCTATTTGGTAACGTCCATTTTGAGGAGTGATGACCTACAGCAAAATAAAAATGTGAGAGGGTGCGGACTTCAGTCAAGTTGGCTTTTTCTAAGTTTCCATTAGGAAACTGGTTATTTTAGCAGCATTCTGATACACAGTTACGAAATTAATGTCACCGTGCTTAATCCTACCAACTGTACAGACCTATATTTAGAGCTTGAGGAAGTCAGAGAGAGCATGTAACAGACACAGGTGCCTGGTCAGACCTGGTCATATTTCCACCTACTCATGAGTAATTAATTGCCAAATAGAACTTTAAAAATTATTTATCTAAAAAAGCATGACTACGGCAACCAAAAGGTTGAAAATAAAGATTGCGTAAATATAAACCGTGCCTGCCGGTTGACTTGTTTCTATTAAAATGTGCGAACCTGTTAGTCCACATAGCTATTACTCACACATGATGCATACAGAGAAAGAGCATCAAAATTAACTGATGATCATGGAAGATTTTGGAAAACCACAGCGTATGCCAGAGCTATGAGTTGACAATGCTATGTAAATTAAGTGAGGGCTGAATTACTTCTCATCTACTTACTCACTTAATATCTATTGCATGCATTGTATCTATTGTGTGCAAAAAAGTTGCTAGGCACTGTGTTTGGCGCTGCGGAGGCAGCCATGAACAAGAGGTGGCTGATCCTTGACCTCCCAGGGTTCACAAGCAAGCTGACTCTTAGAAGTTTTGAAACTAGTTGATTCAAACATTGAGAGACAGCTGGGAGCAGTGGATAACGCCTGTAATACTAGCACACTGGGAGGCTGAGGCAGGAGGCTATCTTGAGGCCAGGAGTTCAAGAGCAGCCTAGGCAACATAGCGAGACCTCATTTCTACAGAAAGAAATAGAAACACAATATAAATTTTAAAATAATAAAACAAAAATTAAGAGGTCTACTCTGATAGCAATGTGGGTTCAAAGGCACATGCATTTGTCAAAACTCGTAAAATTGGACATTTAACATCTGTGTATTTGGCTATATATAAAATATATTTCAATTTTTAAAGAGGAAAAAATTAGAAGAGAAAATAATTATAATCAAAATTAAAACAAAATAATATGGTAGTTCATGGGAAATGCGATCTGGAATACCTGTCTGTAACATGTCCAAAGTGTTCTTTCAAGGGATAAATCGCCTCAGTACCAGTTTCTCCTCAATGTAATCAGTAATATTACAGCTTCTGATTCGGAATTCGGGAATTATGAAACTACTTCTTTTTTTTTTTTTTTTTTTGAGATGCAGTCTCGCTCTGTTGGCTAGGCTGGAGTGCAATGGAATGATCTTGGCTCACTGCAACCTCTGCCTCCCAGGTTTAAGGGATTCTCTCATCTCAGCCTCCTGAGTAGCTGGGATTACAGGTGTGCACCACCACGCTCGGCTAAATTTTGTATTTTTAGTAGAGATGGGGTTTCACCATGTTGGCCAGGCTGGTCTCGAACTCCTGACTTTAAGTGATCCACCTGCCTCGGCCTCCCAAAGTTCTGGGATTACAGGTGTGAGCCATGGCGCCTGGCTCAGGAATTGTGAAACTATTAAAGGACCTTAACTTATTTCAAGTAACAGAAGAAGCTGAACAACTAGGTGTGGTGGCTCACGCCTATAATCCCAGCACTTTGGGAGGCTAAGGTGGGAAGACTGCTTGAGGCCAGGAGTTCAAGACCAGCCTGGGTGACACACTGAGATCCCATTTCTATTTTGTTTAAAATTTAAAAGCAGCAGCAGCAACAGCTGAAGGGAATGTGACAAATCCCCAAATCTACCACATGGGAAGAGAATGAACTCCTGATTCTTTTAAAAGAATTGTTTTTGTTTAAAATTCAAAAGCAGCAGCAGCAGCAGCTGAAGGGAATGTGACAAATCCCCAAATCTACGACATGGGAAGAGAATGAACTCCTGATTCATCTGCAGATGCGTGGGACTTCTCACTTGGGACACGGCTACAGAAATAGTTCTAGTAACTGTAAGGGCCATTCAGTCAGCTCCACCACTGCTAAGTTTAGCTACACATCCCACAAACAGATGTGTTCACTATTAGTCAGGGAATAAAGCAGAGACTAACTCTAATGCTTAGAAATATGAAGTCATTAAATTTAGAAACTATTTACTGAGCGTTTCTGCTGTGTGAGACCCTGTGCAGGGCCCTAGGGCTAACATGAATAAGTGCAGATGGCGGTCTTGCCTTGTTTGAAAGATGACTTCCTTTCAAGAAGTATGTCGCCTCTGGTTGCTGAGGCCTCTTTTGCAGCATGCTGAGAACATGATGGATTTAGTCCCTTTTGACATTTAGACACTCAAGAGCACTTGCTGATTTTCCCTTTCTTGTCATTAAATATTTACAGGCCTGATTTCAATGCACCCTCCAGTGAACCATCTCTATGTTTAACTCACTTTCGTGAAAGTTTTATCAACCTAAATTTGTTGTAACCCAATTTGGGTTTTTTTGTTTGTTTTTGTTTTGAGACAGAGTCTCGCCCTGTCAACCAGGCTTGAGTGCAGTGGCTGGAGTGAGTTCTCCTAGGCTGGCCCTGAATTTCTAGTGTAACGTGTAAGTCCTGACCAGTTTGTAGTTCTGCAAATGCCTGGTTCTTCCCCTAGCCCCGGGTCCCTTGTATTTAACTTTCTTTTTTTGTTTTGTTTTGTAACGGAGTTTCGCTCTTGTTGCCCAGGCTGGAGCACAATGGCATGATTTCAGCTCATCACAACCTCCGCCTCCTGGGTTCAAGTGATGCTCCTGTCTCAGCCTCCCAAGGTGCTGGAATTACAGGCATGTGCCACCACACCCAGCTAATTCACACTTCAGCATTTCACACTTATAAAGTTGTAAAAAAGTGAAGGAATGGGGTCCTTCAGTCCCCATAAAACCACCACAAAGTTGAGTGTTTGGAACCCATTTTAGATTATTTGTTCCCAGACCAGGTTATGAATCAGCGTAGATTCTAAATAACATGCAGCACTCTTACCCAAAGCAATTCCCAGGTTAGTCTCCCAAAGCTTCTTCCCCAGGTCTTGCTGGATGTTGGTGGGATCTTTAACAAATATTATTTTTAGTAAAATCACACACACACAGAGTCACTGAACATGACTGTGCTTCAGGATACTTTTGTAATTCCTGGTTCTGCACCCTGTCTAAATAACTCTATGGTGTTGTGGTTGTTGGCTGCCTGAACACATCAGGTCTCTCTATGTCTCTGGGTCTCTGCACATGCTGTTGGAACCCTCTCTACTTCATCCCGCTGACTCCAACTCAACGCTTCAGACCTCGGCTTAGGCATCAATCCTTCTTGGAAGGCTGTGCTGACATTCTCCTTCCTTCTACCACACTCATGGCTATGTAAGGTATCCTGCCTGTGCACTGCCAGAGGAAACAGGGTGCAGGTATGCTGGGAAGCAGCACATTCTACTATAATTGCCTATTTAACTGCATCCTGCATGTACCAGGCAGCAAGCTCCCAGAGGCACAGACTGTTCCATACTATCTCTAGCACCTGACGCACTGTAGATGTCCAAGCTATGTCTAGCAAATGAATAGGTAAATACTTGAATGAAAGTTTCCCCATCCCTATGTAGATACACCGTATAGATGGATTTTACCTAGGAACCAATCGTGTAATAGTTAATCAGCTGCTATTTTCCTAAAGCTGAGAGTTAGAGAGCAGCAAATGAAGCCCAATGAGTAAAGTTTTGATAGGGTAGTGGGTGGAAGATGATGGGAACAGAAAGATCTTGAACATTGGGTGGTTCCAATGTTCCATGTGAGGATGAAAGGGAGCCGAAAGCAAGCCTTGCCTCCCTCACTACTGTCTTGAAGTGACTATGTTCAGAGATGACAGTCCCAATCCCTAGGCTATCATTTATGAATCATGGAGCTCTGATGGGTTACCTAGCAGGCACAGCAATGTAGTCCATCTTTAATGTGAGTAGCAGGAAAGTCAACTGCAGTACCCCAGAGCCATCAACCACTGGGTCGATTTGCCTAGTGAGGCCATGTCTACGATCCAGTGGATTTTAAGGTCCTCCTCTTACTCTATTCTGTTTTTCAGTCTTCTTGTTTTATATGTTATATTCTTGATCATTTTTAAAATAAAAATCTTTTTCAAGTTTTTCAAGATCCCTGCCTTTACTTATGTATTTGTTTACTCTTAAAATTTTTCCTGGCCAGGCGCAGTGGCTCACGCCTATAATCCTTGCACTTTGATAGGCCAAGGCGGGTGGATCACCTCAGGTCAGGAGTTTGAAACCAGCCTGGCCAACATGGTGAAACCCCGTCTCTACTAAAAAACACAAAAATTAGCCGGGCGTGGTGGCAGGCGCCGGTAATCCCAGCTACTCAGGAGGCAGAGGCAGAAGAATCACGTGAACTCACGAGGCGGAGGTTGCAGTGAGCCAAGATTGCGCCACTGCACTCCAGCCTGGGTGACAGAGCGAGACTCTGTGTCAAAAAAAAAAAAAAAAAAAAGAATTCTCCTTAATTATGTTCTTGTTCATTTAAAGAGTACAGGACCCATGGCAGGTAATGACAACATTTTACTCAAACCCTTTGCTGATACAATTTTACCCTCCTCTTAATGTCTTAGTCTCTCTCCTTTTTAGGATTAACTTTTCTGGCCCCACTCCTAAAAGACTTCAGAAGACTGTTTTTTTGTATTTCTTCTAATTTTCCTGAATTTCTTTCTGTACATTCCCAGATAGGCCAGGGGAATAGGCAAACATACCTAAGTCTTTGCATGTTTACAAGCAAGAATAATTTGTTTTTTTCTGCATATTTTCAGTTAAAATACTCATTTTTATAGAAGGAGCAGGATTTTAAAAAATTAATTCCCACTTTAACAAATAAATACATTAAAAATGAGAGAAATACACAAACAATTATATTTCTTGGTATAGACATATATATAACTTTGAACCCGAGTTCTCCAACTATTCTTTAGTTGGGAAAATCAGATATGGCTTCTAGTTCAAATGATTACTTCTCATTTATAAAAGGAAGAAATATTCTGAAGGTAAAGTACTTAGTCGACTATTAAATAGAGCTTGATAGGTCCAGACCAAAGCAGTCACACAACAGTGCAAAATATGATCTTGCTCCATGGTAAGCTATGGTTGAATATGACTGGCTTCTGACAAACAATTCACTACATACCTGACCTAAATTACTGTGTTGTTTCTAATTAAATGAATGTAGTATGCAAAAAAAACAAAATAATTAAGTACTTTGTCTGGACTCCATACTCACTCAGCACTGACTTTCCCCCTACATTAGCCATTTTGCCATTTAGATACACCAAAAGAAAGGGCGTCACTTTCATCCATAAGCATGTTTTGTAAGTTACCACCTACTCCTTTGCAAATTATTCTTTTTAAAAATATTAGGTTACCTTTAGCCAGCACCTACGTTCACCTCTGCCATACTAAAAGCCTGACAGAATCCCAGGCACACCTAAACACATCACCTGATCTACTATTAGGGCAACAAAATGTTGCCACAATATTTTGCATGATTTGCATACTTGCGAGGATTAAGCAAATATATCATTTGCCATTCATACTTTGCCAGTTAAAGAGAGTGAATCTGTGGATAGCTATTTACTGCCTACATACGACATTTTTGCAGAAATGAATTAATAACATTTCAAGATGTGACAAGAAAAGAACAAATAATTCAACCTTCAAGAAGATTAATTAATGACAAAGTGTTTATTCTCCTCTCAGACAAAGAAGTCTCATTAAGCCTTTCTTTTCTGCATAACTGATGAATAAACTTTTTAGTGAATTGTTAAATTAAAACACATTCTTCTTTGTTGTTGTTGTTGTTGTTGTTGTTGAGACAGAGTCTCACTTAGTCGCCCAGGCTGGAGTGCAGTGGTGCAGTCTCAGCTCACCACAGCCTCCACCTCCCAGGTTCAAGGGATTCTCGTGCCTCAGCCTCTCAGGTACCTGGAATTACAGGCGCCTGCCACCACGCCAGGCTAATTTTGTATTTTTAGTAGAGACGAGGTTTCACCATGTTGGCCAGACTGGTCTCTAACTCCTGACCTCAAGTGATCCACCCACCTCGGCCTCTCAAAGTGCAGGGATTACAGGCGTGAGCCACTGTGCCCAGCCAAAATACATCCTTCTTAATGACCTATTTGTAGAAATACCACTAAAATATGATCAAGAGTGTTTAAATAGAACTTTTAATGAAGACTTTTTTTTTTTGCATCTTTGACATGGAGGTACTTCTTACTGATGATTACATTTTTTAAAATCAGACCTGGCAGCCCATCTAAACCAAATTCAAACACCACTCTGCATTAAATGAAGCTGCAGTAGGAAAGCTGAGCACACAGCACCTAACTGATCGGAAAGAAACGTACCATGTTTAATAAAATTCCAGATTCTTGTGGTCGCTGTCCATAAAAATGCTTTGCAGTGTTGGATATATGGTTTGCAAAAGCCAGCAAATCCTCCACGGTTCCATATCTGACTGATGACAACCATGGTACCTCTTGGCCACTAAGCAGCAGAGACTTAGAACGCTCATCGTTTTGATTGCTGTCTTGACACATGGTCATTAGACTGGGTTCATAAACTGCTGGCTCTTCACTTGCATAAAGATTTTCCATAATGTCTATTACATCGGACACATTTAAATGTTTAATTAATAAATCAATCTCTTCTTTATTGTCACTTCCAGTGCTCATGTACTCCATTACTGTTGCGCTTTCCGGAGAGTCTAGGAAAGAAAACACAAATCCTTAGTTTACGATATTTGTATTTGCATTCAAGACCAATGGGAAACTAACATACAAGGATTGGCAACAGGATTTTATATGCTTTTGTTCAGAAAACGAGGGTTTTGTGTCAACTGTGTGTGTGAATTCAAGTTGACAGTGCAGAAAGGGACCTAAGATAACCTTTAGTCCAGCTCACTTTGCAGAGGGGAAACCTGAGACCCAGAGAGCTTACTGTTACTCACGGAGTCAGTGGTATCAGCTACAGCCACTGAAGACAAACTTTCACTACGCATACACACCAATCAAGAGCAGCTCAGGAATCTTTGAAGACCTCAGGCTTCCGGCTCTTTAGGGCTTCCAACTTTACACAACCCAGCTATTCCCCCAAAGTGGCACCCTCCCTGCAAAAATCGCTATGGCTTTTTTATGCCTCCGGTGACTTGAAAGAAAAATAACCTCTTCACGAAATGCAGGAGCTAACTTGGCAAATAAAACTCAGGCCCTGAAAGCCAGAAGCTGGAAAAATGGATTTCAATCTAAACAAATTTGATGGCAATAGGTCAAGTTTCAGGAATGATTCTTATGCAAATGAGTTAAACAGCTAATTGGAAGGGTGACAGGGAACCTTGTTCTCCCAGCGATGAGTATGAGAAAGATGACGATGCATTTAACCTATGATTCAGCTGTCCTCCCTTAGGACCAGAATTCTTTAATAGTGCAAAGCAAACATCTTGAGGGTCCCAGAAGATTAATATCTAGATAAACAGCCCTCTAGAAGCTGTGAATAGTAGAAAGAAGCCAGGAAAGTCAAATATATCATAAGCAAGGCCAAGTGACTATATGAACCAAAATTGCATTTCAGCTCTTATATACAAATCAGCTGCCACACTTGGAGATCTGTAGATGAGAAAAAGAAAGTAAAGCAAGAGTAAAAACTGATGTTGTTACTCAGGATTTTAGAACAACTCTGTTCTGAAGGAGAAAAGACAAAAGCTCTAAGAGATCTAAGAGAATTTCAAGGCACATTGGTCTACTTAAATCATCGTTTGCACTCCCAAAAGCACAGCCTCTTTCTGAAAGGTATTTCAAGTTCCGAAAAGCAGAAGCCTTTAACACACAGGACACTCAGGGCTAAAGCCACGCATCTCTGATCAACCTGGAGCTTCATTTCAAAGCTCCAGGAAATGCTCCACTGCAGAGCACCTGCATGCATGACCCAGCCATCTGCCTCTCAGTGAATTTCATTTGACAAAAGAACCATGCAATTTAGTGTCATCATTCACTTACTTGATGGTCATTTTCTGACGTATGAATTGTGTCTGAGGAAAGTGGTCTAGCATCCTGCAATCCAACATTCCTCTGGTCTCAGACTGCTTGGAGTCAAATCACATCACCTCCCCACCACACTCCCATTTACTGCTTGCATGACATTGAGCAAGTAACTTAACCTCTCTCAACCTCAATTTTCCCCATCTGTAAAATGGAAGTAATAACAGCACCTACCTCATGAAGTGGTCGTGAGGATTAAAAGAGTTCAAGCTCATAAAGTGCTCAGTGCAGTGTCAGGGGCATGGTAAATAAGCTGTGTCATTTTTAGCTGCTTTATATGCATGAGAGAGAAAAGTACTGAGTCAGACTCCTGGCTTTGCAGATACTGCATTAGCTTCCTTTCTTATCTGCAAATGAGATGTGGCTACCTATTCCCCTGGCTTCTTCGCAGTAAGAAGATTGTATCTAAAACAAGACATAAAGAGAGAGAGAAAAAAAGGCAGAAACCCATGAAATGCTTTGATGGCCGTTATCAACACAGTGAAATCTAGAGTGAGGGGGCAGCTTCCCCTCCCGAGATCTTGTACATCTTTGAGGGAGATTGTGATTCAGGTTCTTGGAGTCTACTGAGTTAGGAAAGGAACTTCTTAGATTAATGGAGGAACATTTGACATCGGTTTTACTGAGCCATCTAGTTGCAGTTTCTGCTTGTCGAATTTACTGGAAACACAGAAGTTAAAACAAAAACAGCCTAATTTGGGGCCTCAGGGGTTGAAAGGATCCAAGTCTCCTGGACTTATTTATCAAATGGATGACTTGACAGAAAAAAAAAAAGTTCTCAGTACTAACACGACTCAAGAAAGAAAGAGGAAAAATGTCCACACAGTTCAAATTCACTCTGCTGATCCGGGAAGACAAATTTTAGAGGTTTTTTTAAAAAAAAATTAGTAGTAGTATTCTTTTTATTCTTTTATTTTGTTAATTGGGGGGTTTTCCTGTGAGGACTGGAGATTTAAAAGACAAATCCTAAAAGAGCGGTAATACAAGGTTTTGGTTTTTAAATCCTGCAGAAAGTCTCAAGCATTTATATGTAAAACCCAAGAGCTTAAACACACACAACCACACCCCTAAACTGTGAGTTGCCTGGAAAGGGGAGAGGGAGGGAAGCAGGACCCGGGAGGTGGAGGAGTGTCTGACACTGAGACTTTTCTCAGTGCCTGCATTAATTCCTTAGCAACACAGGGCCCCTGTCACACAAATCTATGCTCCCCAGAAACCCTGCTGACCAGTTCGCCTGCTAACTGCTCCTGCAAAAAGCCTCAGCACTTTCCAGCCTTAAAGAAGCACACAATAAGCTAATGGTTTCTGAGTTATTCATGATCTGTAGCCACCTAGAAAGTTCAGATTGTGAAGGTATCCTAGTTTGGCAATAAAGACGTTTAGTATAAGATGATTTTTCCCTTGACACAATTTACAATAAAAGTCCTCATAAAATTCCTGCTTCCTAACCAAACAGAAAATTATGCCAGCTTTTGGAATTGGAGAGATGTGCAAATACAGTCAAAACTAGTTACACTGAATTATTTCAGAAATCAGCAATAAAATCACGAGGAAATTCTGTTCCTAAACATTAACATAATACTCTTGGCTGCCTCCACATACATAAACAAAATGTGAGTGTTTCCTGGCAAGTGTGAATGAAAATGGCCAACATACCAGCATATGCTTCTGCCTCACAAAGAATGACTATTCCTTGTGTTATTTCCCATTTAAAATTATTTTTTTTAGGCCGGGAGCAGTGGCTCATGCTGGTAATCTCAGCACTTTGGGAGGCCAAGAAGGGTGGATCACTTGAGGTCAGGAGTTCAAGACCAGCCTGGCCAGCATGGTGAAACCCTGTCTCCACAAAAATTAGCCGGGTATGGCGGCGGGCGCCTGTAATCCCAGCTACTCAGGAGGCTGAGGCAAGAGAATCGCTTGAAGGTGGAGGTGGAGGTTGCAGTGCGCCGAGATCGCGCCATTGCAATCCAGCCTGGACGACAAGAGTGAAACTCCGTCTCAAAAATAAAAAAAATTATATATATATATTTATACTAATATATATAGATAGATAGATAGATAGATAGACCCTGCCAAAATAGTATATTCTCCCTCAGGGCACATCTCTGATTATGTTTTTGTTCTCAAAAAGCCCCGGAATTATGCGTTTCAGGGGTATAGAAGGAAGGACCGCCACTCTGCTTCAAAACCTCTAGATGCCTCCACGTTCCCACTTTCTTTACACGACAAAGTCCTCATGGGCCATCTGCCAGACGACCTGCACACAAACCTCAATCCTTCGGAGAGAGCTGGGGGCGTCAGCTGGAAGTGGATTACACGTTCCTTGGCACACACAACTCAGGCTACAAGTATGTAAAGCAACTGCAAGAGCCTTTCTGTCCCCGTTTTTATCAAGAGCAGCATTTTATCTTGTCTTCCCCAAAGTGAAATAGACAAGCATCGCAACGTTTCACTCTTAAAGGCAGCGGGTGTCTTCCCCTGTTAACTATGGGGACTATCCCTGGGCGTCCTTCTCCGCCTAGAGCTAGAAAAATTTCAGTCAGTCCTGATCATGCATTATCGCTCGAAAACAACTTCCGTGAAAATAACTTTTTTTTTTTTCTCCTAGTATTCTTTCTTAGACCAAAAGCCCAGCCTTCGTGTTCTGCTATGACTCCTTTAGTCACGGGATACAGTCCAGGTTACAAACTTGAATTTAGTTCCAGCCATTCACAAGTCTCTGGGCTCCGCCAGCCCACACTCCCACTCCCTTCCTCCTGGTTCTCTAAGTCAAAGGAGCCTAAAAAGCTTGTAAATTATCAAAGCACCCAGCATTTGGGAGGGTCGGGTCCTCCAACCTCCGAGCTGCACTCACCGGGTCTGGGGCAGGGACAGCGCGGCCGTCCAGGCGGTGTCGGCGGCGGGAGGCGCAGTGACAGCGGGTCCCCGCTTCCCTGCGCACGGCCCAGACCAGCACTGCCCGGGCCCTGCGGATCCGGGAAGGAGGAGGAAGGGGGAGGAGTCGCGAGTCTGCACCCCGTGAGACCCTTGCGCAAGGTGCTTTCCAGCTGTGCCTGGTGCAGCCGGCGACCCGCGAGCGCAGCTGTGGACACGCCCCCACCTCTTCCCACGCCAGAGTTTTCCCCTCTGCTGGGGTCACCCTCCATTTCTGCATGGGAATCCCCGGGGCACCCAGGCGGGACGCGACCCGAAAGACACGCCGGAGACCCCCAACCCTGGGTTACCTGCGGCTTTGGCGCTCCCACGCCGGCCAAGCGCTCCAGCCGCGGACCCCCGAAGGCTCGGTGCGATG